ATAATGTAAAGCAAACAAGCCAAACAATGTAAACAAATAAATGTGATCTAAACCTTAAGGTAACCCCACTTTTCATTTTTCCCCAGCAGAGTCTCCAGTTCTGTGATACGGTGGGAGAACTGACTTGAGGGTTTTGCGTTTTATCGCAAATGTTGCGATTAGAAAGAGTCGCCACCGACTTTTCTTTTATCCAAAAGGAAAGGTGAAAAAGCACAGGAAAGACCTTTGAGATGTTTTCTTGAGTTCGGGGGGTAGATTATGAAAAGGGAAGGTATTAGCACCCTTTTCATCCATGGTTTTCCATGGGCTCTTAGTTACTTTCTTTTGTTGTTTGAAATTGTGCTTGGTGTGGTTTTGAAAGTATTTTGTAAAAAGAGGCCATTGTTTTGGAAATCTTTGTAATGATTCTCATTCGTAAGAATGTATACAAAGATGTTTGTCTTTTTGAAAATGTTTTCAATGAATGTAAAATGTTTTGAAATGCGTGTGTTTGTTTTGAAAATAGCAAGGATGGTTGTTTGAAATAGAGCAAGTAACTAGAAGCTATCTACCTACTCAAATGTCTTTCTTGTGCATTTTCTATTCCCTTGACATTGTTTTCTTACCATTGATTTGGTAAGCAACCCTATCTTTGGATGTAAACGGGACGGGCATGGGTCATCGTATAACCATGATAGCAATGTTTGCAAAGTATCTTAGCATTTGGAGGGACCAAGATCATTTTGTAAGACAGCTTTTGAATAACGTCATCGAGGGACTATGATCTTATATTTGTTTTGTTTTGCCAAGATACTTCGCATGCATAATATGGTCATTTTTGTTTTAGGCAACCAAGTGGAGAAACCCTAAGTATACTTGTATGCAAGTGTATCATTTTCATGCTTTAATTTTGTCTTGTATTTAGGGTTTTCTATTTTGCTTTGTTTTTGATCTTGTCATACAAACCCTAATTACTAATCATGGCATATAAAGCGATAAATTGCGTAATGTAAATATTTCTAAGCTATTACAACAATTTATGGGATGGGGGAATACAAATTTGAATGGGGATTTGCAAAAATATAAACCTAAATAAATTATTACAACCAAATCGAATTTGTACGAATTAGAATAAATATAATACAATATTTAAAAATACAATACAATGTATATGTAAGAAAATATTTTTTGTGTCTTGTTTTTTTATGTAAAAGAAATTTTCATCTAAACCTAAAAATATAAGGAAAAAGAATTAATTTTTAAAAGGGGTTTAACCCTAATTATTATTTTAAAAGAAAATAAAGCTCTTATGCATTATTTTTTTAATGTATTTTTTGTATTAAAATAATAAATAATATTGTATAAAAAAATATAAAATTTTTATATATGCAAAAATAAGTATTTATAAGTATGAAATGAAAAATAAATTAAACTAAATATGTTTTAACTATATTTTACAAATTTATTAAGAAAATATATGATATCTATTAAAATAAAATATATTTTTATGTGAAAAATAAACTAAAATAAAATAAAAATGTAATATTATGAAATTTACATTTTTTGGGATTTTTATGCATTAAAGAAATATTTAATATATATATATATATATATATATATATATATATATATATATATATATATATATATATATATATATATATATATATATATATATATATATATATATATATATATATATATATATATATATATATATATATATATATATATATATATATGAAAATAAGATAAATAAAATAAAAATAATAAAAATATAAAAAAAGCTGGCAAGGAGGTGATGTAGCAGATTGGTAGTAATGTTAGCAAAAAAAACCTGGCCCAAAAGACTAAGCCCAACCTGCAAAAATGGAAAAATGGAAAAGGGGAAAAATGTGAAAAACACAAAAGTAGCGCCCAAGTTCGAACCCAGGACATGGGTCTCACCAGCGCGCTACTTTGCCACTGGGGTGGCTATACATCCATTGTCTTAAGGAAAACAAAAATAATATAACCCAAAACAAGTCCTTGCCCTGTACTTCATCTTCTTCCTCAAGCTTGGCCAGACATCCTGTAACTCTCTCATACTTCCATGAAAATGAAAACTCATAACATGAAAGTTGTAGTACTTGAACTCACGATTCCAACCATATAAGTTATGTGAACTATCAATCAAAGATCAAAGAGAATTTTAACAGCCCTAAATTTTAACCTAATATTTTCAGAAATTTCAAGTTCCAAATTCTCTCAACTCAAGTAAAATTAATGCAAGATAAAGATATGTACAGTTTCGTTATGATGAGGACTACACTTTTTATTTACAAGTCGTGGCCTAGGGTTTCCTGTACAAAGAGATAGAGTTTGATATTTTACCTCCTTCAGTTAGAATCGTGGATGGAACTGGAGTGAGTTTGATGGAGGCCTGATGCTTGCTTGAGCTTCCTTGAGCTTCCCTGAATGTATTCTAACCCTTGCCTTGCTCTGAAAGTATCTGAAACTCCTTGGCCAAGTCAAATTGCAAGCTCTGAAATCAACAATGGAAAATTATGGAAAAGTGATTACAGAACAGGGATGAAGGTCTGGATTGGTTTGATATCAAGTATGTAAGATGTTTGAATGATCAAAACTTAAAACGCACGAGCCAAATGGAAGATGGATATGCTTATGCAAAAACTGCAAGTTTGGACATATTTTTGGTGTTTTCTGGTTGGGAGTGTTTCAGGCCTTTGCTAATCCTGTCATGTGTTGCATAATGTTTGTATATTAGTATAAGATCAGTTTCCTATCTTCCCTTCAACAGATGTGCCAGTTCTAGCCTTTTGGCCACCTTTCTTGCTTTTGAAGCAAAGTGAAGGGACAAGGCTTGCCATGCTTGTACTTGCTCTGTTAGGGTTGGTATCAGCTTGTACAATTTACTTTAGACCTGTGAGACTTGTATGTACAATGGAGACAGGTGCAATGCTCAAGAATTGGAAAGTGGTAAAAGTTGTGCTTTTCCAAAATGGCAATGGTCACTTTATGCCATTTATGGAATTGCAAGTTGGATAATGGTTCTAAGACATGGATCAAAGTTTTTTCAAGTGAGTAAGTATTTAATTAAGGAGTGAGGAACAAGTTTGGGACCTGTAAAGCATGGATTAGGCAGCATAGGTACTGATTGCAACTTTGTTCTTCATGAAATGGCTTGGACAAAAAGTGAGAAATTGCCAATTTCATCTCTTCGATTCTCCCTACTCAAAAATGATCTTGAGGAGTTCTTGGACATTTTGGAAAGCTTGAAATGTGATTTATAACTCATATTTGAAATTCATTTTGAGATACCTATTGGAACTAGGTGAAAAATGTCCATGAAATTGGGTCAAAAACCTGCCTAAATTAGGGCAAAATTTCACTAAGTTATTTACTTCATGACCATGTATTCACAAATTTATATCTTGAGATTCAAGCATCTTTAGGGAAAAGTGTGTGAAGTAAAGTTGTAGATTTCATGGAGGTCTACAACTTTTATGTTTTTAACTTTCCTTGAATCATTATGCATCATGGTGAAAAAGTGGCCTAAAATTGAGAAAAAATAAGAAATTTTCTATACTTAGAAAATTTTCTAAGTTAAGAAAAATTTCAAATTCAAACCCTAATATTCAAACTTGGATTTCTTGAAGAACAAGTTTCAAATTTTAACATGTTTTGATGAATTATGACCCTTGGTACTTGATTTTGACCAAAAAGTCAAAGTTTGACTTTTCAGTGTACATTTGACTTTTGACCAGTTGACTGCAAATTTCATTTGTCAATCCAATGAATTTGAGATGTTTTGAGCCATGTAATTAAGTCAAGATGATTCCATTGAATCCTTGAAATCATGCTTTAACTCAATTGGTCATTTGCTAGGTTAAAAATCAGAAATTGCCCTTCCTCAGTCAAAACCCTAATTTTGACTATTTTGCCCTTTTGGTGATTTGACCAAATTTCTTGAGGAATTATGATCCAAACTTGACCAAATGATGCATATAAGTAAAAAATGTTGATGTTGATAAAAAATTATGAAGTTTGACTGTAAATTGGCCATGGTTGACTTTTTCCCAAATACAACTGATTTTTAGGTCAACTGTCCAATTGACTGATCAAAAATGTGGTTCAAGGCTTGAAACTTGTCATGAGTGATCTTAGGGACTCATAATGATGTTTGAAAGTCATATGAAGCATTGATAGTCCAAAAATCTTTTTGCAAACTCAAACCCTAATTTTGGGTTATCAGTCAAACCCTAATCCAGTCTTGAGTCAGAGGAAACTTGTGAGAAAAGTCTTGATAAATGAAGAGGGAAAATTTTGGGGTACAACACTTTTCTACCAACGTGGGATCCAATGGAAGCGGATAACCTTCATTTTCCTCTATTTTTAACTCATCTAAAAGGAAATAAGAAGATTAAGGGGTTAAGTGTAATGATATTTAACATCAATCAAATAAAGCGAAGTCATATCAAGTACCAAAAAGTTTCTTCCCATCCTCAATGAAATTCACATCTCCAAAGTCCTGACAGCGTATCACACATTTTGAAAACAAAAATAGATTTACCTTTATACTCTTCTAAAAGTTGCAATCATATAAAGGAATAAAACACTTGTCAAATTTGTTACAAATTCTTTTGTTAGTATGAATGGTGGAGATAAACCAATTAGAGGATGACCTCACCTAGAAGGTAGTCTTCTCTACACCTGCCTCCTAGATATATGATGAGATTATTCCTATGTACATCAGATTCACCCATCAATATTCATTTGCATCAGTCGACTCCATCAAATCCTCAAGTCTAACAAAATCCATCTTCGCATCATGAAATGAGTCCTTTTGATAATTGATAATAGAAAACCTACCAGGAGGATTCTTCTCAAAAGACTAGATAAAGAAATTAGTCTCACACTCCAACATCTTAGATAAAGTAAGTACCAAATTATATTCAACATGGGCGAGGGAGAGGCGTGGATGCCAACTTTCCCATCAACGATTCATCCTTATCACCTGATCAATCCAACCCTAGCCTAGAGCCACCATTGGGCACATTCTGGCCAGGAATGGGAAAATCCACCTCGTAGAAAATATCCAAAAGTTTTGGGTTCTCAACTCTAGTAGATGGTGAAGACTCATCACTATTAAGTCTAAGGGCAATGTTTATGGGTACATTTATCGGGTTATCCATAACAATACGTTGACGGAGGATGATGACGTACCTGGGAAAAGAAAACATAAGGGAAATGGGTCCACAAATGAAGAGACGTCGAAAGGATGAAGTTGCTGGAACACACGAACAGAAGAATGAACTCGCGAGGAGAAGCAGATTCCAAATGGTAAACGAAGAAAAATAGATGTGTGGAAATGGGTCAATTTTTTATAATAAAATCAACAGCAAATCAACGGTCCAGATCATAAGGAGGGAAGAAATCTAAGATTATTAATCAACCGTCCTTGGGAATGCAAGTAGTTCATACGCACTTGAACACCTTAGGTAGGGAAGTTATGCCCTAACTTGCATGCCTAGAGCCACATGCCTAAAAGGAATAATGAAATGTCTCAGTGATGAGAAATTATTTAATTTGCATGTTCTCAATTACTCTTGTAATTGTTCCATGATCTTCCTATTTCTCATTATGGTCAGACTTAATCGCTAGGGGCCGACCACGACTTTGAAAGACTTCCTAGTTAGTATACACATGACAAGCCTTGAAGGCAATTGTTCTAGACAGGTCAAATACCTTGTATGAAGGCCCAACTACACATGGTCTTATCAAGATTATCCAACATATATAGTCAGCACACATGATATTCAATGTATATTTTTTTATCTCTAGTACTTTTTATTATATTTATTTTAAATCATATAACTGATTTGAGTGTTGAAGTACTAATCTTATAAGTCGACTCTGCATCATTGTACCAGATATTAATATCACTACTTCTAAAATTTCAAGTTATCAATTGACATTAAATTTAACTTCGATACAGAAGAGTTATATTGCAACAACTATAAAAAATATAGATATTCATCAGTATTCTACACAACAATTACTCCATTTAATCAATAAAATTAATAATAAAAGCAACACTTAAGAAAATGTGTTTGTAACTTCGATATCTACACGCATTATAATTAAAAAATCAAGAACATTAGGAAGAAAAAAGTTTCTAGGGTTAGTGATTATCTTGCTGCTTGTGAAGGTGATGCGACACTTGAGATTAACTTCAAAATAATAATTAAAAATGTGACACTTCAAATCAAGTTTGCAAAAAAAAGGTCATGCATGATGACCACAAACAAAAAGTATAGTTGGTGGAATAATGACTTTTCTTTATTTGCTGACGGTCCCGATTGGCTTGTTGTATGAATGTCAACGTGGCTCATTGTGTACCATCTAATGTAGAGAGTAAACTCCATTGAGAAAAATGGAGTGTGGCTAGCTCACGTGCTTGCATTGCATTGCACTTTGTCGAACACTAATTAAGGAGGTTGGGGTTGGGTCCACTATGTTGGTCCGTTTTATTCTTTTTTAATGGAATAGGTTGTAGGTTGTGATTTCCAACCCATTTGTAGGTCAAAAGTATTTATTAGAAAAGCATCACTTGAACTATTTGAATTCAATGAAAAAACTTTAGACTTGCACTACTACTCCATTGCATTTGAAAGCAACAAAAATATAATTTGTTTTATTTTTTAAAAAAGGAAACAAATTGAACTACTATTTCACTTCAATTAAAAGATTTGTGAACTTGCATTCCTTCGGTGCATTTGAAAATAAAAATTGAGATAGACATTTCAAAACATTATCAATTTAAAAAATAATTTATATTTAATATAAAAATGAAAATAATTTATATTAATTAAATAGAACAAACTTAAGGTTAAATAAATAAACAAAGACCTTTCGATTAAAAAAGAAGGAACAAAATTTAGTGTCAAAATAAACTTTGATATCAAATATCAACGAATCATTTGATTTGAGTGTCACTGTTATAGTTAATTAATAAAAATACTTAGTGTATCTTTGGTTCTGTAGTGAAAAAATTGATTATAAATGAATTAATTGATTCTAAAAATTTGATTTTGCGTAAATTTGAGTTGAAGATAAAGTGACTTATATTTGGATAAATTTGTTCAAAAGTGAGTTAAACATTAATTAATTGTCTTTAATTTGTTAGGACAAATTAAAAATTAGTTGTATGTTGTGCTATAATAGATGTTATATCATAGTTTTGAGTTTGGTCACTAACTTAAGCCATAAGTATCATTTATAAAAATAAAAAATATTTTTAACTAAGAGCTACACCTGACCAATAAAAGGAAAGTGTACAAATGAAAAGTGAAAGATAAAATTAAAATAGAAGCAAAAATTTAAACGACCGCCCATCCATTATCGAGATGAATGAGCAATATCCTGACAAATTGTTCAATAAAGAAAGCACATTGGAAGGTATTGATCAGTGGTTTTCTACCTTTATTTACAGTTGATTTTAGTTATAATTTATTTATTTTGTCAAGTGTTTTAGTTTTTTCTTCTATGTTTCATGTGTTGGTTGTGTATTTTGTTATTTTCATGCTCAGAGGAATAAAACCAGGAAAATCAGTGTGAAAAGTGAAAAATTCGGAGTTTAGGAGGAAATCTCAAAAACCAAGCTACAGGGTACCTGACATGGCCACCCGTGTCGCCTGACACGGGCTATGTCAAAAGAGGATGCTCAGCAGACAGTTTGAGAGGCAGAGGATGACATGTGTGCTCGTGTCAGCTGACACGGCCTGTGTCAGAAGGTCAGTGTGAAAGGATTTGTTGGTGCAATAGACAGAGAACGGCATTGGTGCCCGTGTCAGGTGACACTGCCCGTGTCGGCCATGACACTGATTTTGAGTGTTTTAATGATTTTTCATGATTTAGGACTTAGAGGGACGTTTTGGACATTTTCTGACAGAGACAAATGGATTGTTCACTATTTAACCACATTTGAAAGAGGAATGAAGGGACTTTTTTGGAAGCGGGGAATAGTTGACATGACTGAAGATTGGAGAAGTCAAGGTTTTCGGAGAGCGGGAGATTTTCATGCGCAGAAATCTCAATCCTTGTAATGTCTATATTTTGTCTTGTGATTATTTTGAACAATATGAGTAACTAAACCCCCTAATGCTATGGGATGTCCCTGATTTAAATCTGTAATGATTATGAATTTCTGATTTCTTTATAAAGTCTTCTCTATTTGATTTAATTGTACAATGTTTTTATGTTTTCCTGGTCGGACAAATTAGGATTGATTTACCGTTAACAACCAACTGGATCGCGGTTGTTAAGGTTTTTGTATAATTAGACTATAGTAGATATCACCTAGGACTAGGGATACCCTATAGTTACTAGATTTAACCCTTGATAAAATAAAGGCTTGACTCCATCAGATATCTCTAAGGACTTAGGATTTAGGATGATGGTTAAAGATTTTCCCACTAAAGACTTAGGGGAAGATAATCTAAAGGGCTGGTAATTGAAGAATATGAACTTGTTGAAGAGATCGGGATTCAAGGTTGTTATAGGGAAAATTATACAGCATACCCTAGCATGCTCCTCATATCTGTAAAAAAAATCCCTAACTTACATTCTGCTTATTTTTTATTTCTGCTAAGTGAAAATTCCTAAACCAAAACCCAATTAAGTTTTTGTTTAATTGAACTACAAATTTAACTCAATAATTGCAAGCAGTCTTTAAGATCGATATCTTGAGAATTTCCCATTATTACTACAAGGTAAAAATAGTACACTTGTTATTTTTCCTATCAGGTATCCAGTTAACATTCTAAGAACAAAGTTGGTTCTACATCTGGCCTTATATTTTTGTGATAACTTTATATGTTATCTTTGAGAACAATTGTATACTCTAACAAGTATTTGTCTAGTGTGTGGCTTTTTCTATAAAGTTTCTGACTCTGGTAAGAAGGCGTGTGACGTCATCAGGTTCTGAACTCAACACTTCGGAAGAATATATTTGGTGTGTTACAAGTTAAGTCAAGATTAAGGGATGTGTCTTATGCAACGATTCTAGGGAACATTTGTAAAAGAGCTTATGATCATGACTTACTCAAGAAAGATTTGGAGGTCTTCTAAAGCTTTAATTCTGATGTTCTAAGTTCTGAAGATGCTAAAGATAAGGTTCTGGTGAACGAGTTCTGAAGATCTGAAGACATTCTTCTAAATATCAAGTGTTGAAGACTGAGAAGGAAAGAGATCTCCGAACAAGCCCTATAAGGTTCTAATGACTTAGGTTCTGAAGATACATAGTTATGATTCTTCTACAACATGCTCCATCAACAAGCATATTAGAAGCATATGAAGACATAGAAGATGAAGATCAATACTAAGAGATTACGTGTGATGGTGAGTATCAAAGTACAAAAGTACATTGTGATCTCTACTCCCTAGAGTGGCGCAAGGACATACCTTTTTGTACTATTGCCTACCAGTCTCACCATGATCGTTAGGAACAATACAACTGCATTTTTGTTTCCTATTCTACCCTCCAACAGATCTCTTCTTTTCAGCTATAAGAGAAGTAATTGGAATAATTTGAAATCAATGAATTAGTTCAAAAAAACTACACTAAACCGCTGCACAAAAACTTTGTAGAGAAATCTTTTGTATAGTTTTGTAAATAAGCAAAGAGTTGTTGCTTGTATCTTGCTATCAACACTTTTGTGTTGTTGTACTTAAACATTGTGTAATATGTTTGTGTAGAAGCATCTTCGTATACACATCTTTGTAATCAAGTGTTGTTGATAGGTTCCTTGAGAGACTCTGTGTAGTCTGAATTCTCAAGAAGACTTGGGCTACTGTCATAGTGGTTTGCAATAAGGATCAGCAGACTTATTAGAGGATTTCAATAGGGTTGATCAGACTTATTGTGGTTATTTGTAATCTGGTTGATTATAATGGATTAAGTCCTTGCGTATAAGGAAAATAACCTTGTAGGATGGACTGGAGTAACTTAGTTAACAGTGAACCAAAATAAAAATGATTGTGTTCATCTATTTTTATTCACTTGTTATCTTTGTGTTTTTTAGTTGCAAAAATATTATCTTTGGTGCAACCCAATTCATCCCCCCCCTCTTTCTTGTGTTTCTCGCACCTTCAATTGGCATTAAAGCTGCAGTTCTGATATTGATATTTATCAAACACTTAGCTGTGTCAGGTAAAGATCCAGACGAGTTTTTAGAAACAA